TCTCACCACCGCACCGCCGCCTCTCCCCTCATCTCGCTTCTTCGCTTAGCACTTCTCTGATCTCGCTCCCCTCCCTTTCATCATCACCATCAGCCCACCTCTCGCGCCCCTACACACCTTCAACCACGTCTCGCCATCTCTCCACATTCCCTTCTCCTCGTCCACACGCCTCGCAGGCATCGACTTTCATTTGCATACCAACGACCTCGCCGCTTCACCTGTCACTCGCCCTCCGCTCACGCCCCTCGACACTTGGCATCCCTCATCTCCAAGCCCGGTCGCAACCTCGGAGACGCACACGCAAGCCAATCGCCATCAAAACGCGCTCGTATTAAGCGTTCCGCTTCTCCATCTTCCCTCTCTGCTCCATCTGGCCGAATCCTTTGGCCATTCAAACTCTGGCTCGAGTCGGTCGACATTCTCACGCGCTCGTCACGCTCCATCGTCGTAGCTGACTTCACGCTGCCTCACGCACCTCACTAGCAGCTTCACCTCTCTACAACCATGAAGCCAGCTCGCTATCTCGTCTTTGGCGCGCTCATGGCTGCCTCGGCGGTCTCCACCTCCCAGCACCAGCCACGAGCTCGTCCAGATCACGCCGCACGCCTGGCTGCTCGTTCACCCCAACCCACACCTCAGCCACTCGTCTTTAACGTGGGTGGTGAAGGCGACGCCTCCTCTTCTTTCTCGCGCGCATCCGCCTCGGCTTCCTCAGCCGCGTCAGCCTCGCTCAGCTCAGCCTCGGCTGCCGCATCCTCTTCCGCAGCTGAGGCAGCCGCTTCATCATCCTCCGCCGCCGCCGCATCTTCCGCCTCCGCTGCTGCTGCCCAATCCTCTTCCATCGCTGCCGCTGCCGCCTCCTCGGTTGCTGCTTCCATCTCGAGCGCCGACGCTGCGGCTTCGCGCTCGTCCGCTGCCGCCGCCGCCTCGGCCAGCCGCGCTTCCGCTTCATCCGCTGCTTCGGCGTCCCTGTCCACCTCGGTCGGCCTCACCACCACCCTGACCGCGACCGTGCAGGCACAGCCCACCGTCGTCACGCCAACCGCCTCATCCGCCAGCCAGGAATCATCGGGCAGCGGCGGCGGAGGCGCCAGTACCGGCCTTATTATCGGCGTCTCGGTCGCAGGCGGCGTGCTCGTACTCGCCGCCTTCCTCTTCCTCTACTTCAAGTTCGGCACGCGTCGCTTCAGCAACTTTGAAGACGGCGATGCCGACATCAAGTGGCCCGAGCTCAAGCACGACCCGGACTCGAACGTCATGCAGCCGCTCCCCGCGCGTCGAACTGGCGGTGCTGGTTTCGACATGGGCGACGAGTCGGACAACGACGGCGGCGACCACGACGGCGCCGGTGGTATGGGCGAAAAGGGCCGCGACAGCTTCACCGGCTCCACCACCGCGCTCGCCGCGGCTCCTCCGGCAGGCTATCCGGTGAACGACTACCCGCCGCAGATGGATCACACCTACTCGATGGACCCCGCCGCAGGATACTACCCCAACCACGGTAACATGTACGCCGGCCACCAGTACGCCATGCAGACCTCGCCAGGCGCCTACTCGGATACAGCCAACCCGTACGGCGTGGATCCGTATGCGCATGCCGGCATGTCGCATCCGCAGCAGAACCAATACCCGCACGCCCACTATCAATAGACCGCGCCCGACCTCGAGCTGTGTCGTCGTGCCCTTTTCTGCGTTCTTTACCCCGTTCTCATCGTCGAGGTTCAGCTCGACATCTACGCTCCTTTGGCCCCCGAAACTTGCGTTTCATTCGCATCTTTGTCTGTCGCTTCGTGCTCGTCCGAGCCTGCTGTCAATACCAACGAACGTGGCATGATTCGGCGGCGTCGTAGTGTGTGTTGCTAGCGGATTGTCTGTGAATCTGGTGCGGTGCTGGCAAGAGAAAGAGGGTTTGGTGACGGGATCCGCTTGTTAGGCCGAGGCCGACACTTCCGCGGAGGTGGCGAGCCGTGTTGGTTGGAGGGGCGCGAGCCTCCACTCGAGCCGCGTTGCTGACGGACTTCGCGGTGGGAACGTGTGGGATGGAAGGGCGAGTATTTTTGGCTGGGGCTGGGCTCACCCAACAAGCTGACGTCGAGGAACCAAAAAAAAAAGTCACACACCAACACACGTTTGCCTCAGCCTTTCATCTTCATTCGCGACTCTTGCAATTCGACAGCCACTTTGAGCTGGGAACAGGTCGTCAGCATGTCGCTTCGTTTCGCATCGATGCGGTTGGTGCCGCCAGCTTCGGTGCTGCCACACCTCGAGCGGTCCGCAGCCAACGTGGTGCGCTCCAACACGCTGCGCACTGCTCGTCTCGCCTCCACCGTGCGTCCGATCTCGCTCAGGCTTTCGAATAGCACCCCGGCGCAATTGGGACTGCGATCATTGTCGACCTCCAGACCGACACTGTTGGAGACGTCGCTTCGTCGGTCTTCGCAGAGCGGCAAGTCGACCAAGGAGCAGGCTGAGCAGGCCGAGGAGGCCGACTCGGATGCACCGCCACCCAAGGCATCCCTGCGCGAGCGACTCAAGTTCCTCACGCGCCGCTATGGATGGTGGGCGCTAGGCGTGTACCTCGCCGCCTCGTCCGTCGACTTTTCGCTTACCTTCCTGGCGATCCATCTGTTGGGTGCCGACCACATCCGCTCGCTCGAAGCTCAGGTGCGCTCGTCGCTCGGCCTTGAACAGCGTCACGACGACCCAGACAGCCAGGACGGCAAGAAGCAGAGCGGTAGCAGTACGATTTGGACAGAAGCCGTGCTGGCTTATACCATCCACAAGACGCTTCTGCTGCCCGTTAGGGTCGCTTTCACCGCCGCCGTCACACCGAGCTTTGTCAAGTGGCTCGTCAAGATGGGCTGGGCACGCGCAAATCACCAAGTCAAGGCCCAGGTCGGACGCAAGGCTGCAGACAAAGCCATCCAAGACGTCATCAAGCGCAATGCGGCCAAAGAAACAACAAAGCATTCCTGACCCCCCGACTTCACGATGCAATGGTCTTTTTATAGCGACAATGTCATACCACCAATCAACTCTCTCTCACGCATGCTGTGTTGGAAAGTTGCGAAACGAACAAAAGTGTTATTTCGGACTGGGAAAGCGAAGCGAAGAAGGAACGGGGAAAGGACGGTGTAATGGCCAAAAACGCTAGGCGTTGGCGAATGAAACGGAGACAGACGGAAACTGGAGACCGGTCCAGTTTTTCAAGGGAGGATGCTTCGACGGCGGTAAGTGAACCTGCTCTTTGCACCTGCAAGCAAGGGAGCGGGAGTAGCAGTGGCGGTGGTGGTGGAGTTGAGGCTGGCACGGTTGAGGGCGTCGCGGATGCCGGCGTCGATGGGCGCACCGAGCTGCTCGGGTGTGATGCGCTTGTTGTCCACGGTGTAAGTGGCGGTACGGGCGGCAATGAGACCCGCCAGGCCCGCCTCGAAGATCGCCAGCTGCTCGTGCGTGACTTGCATGCGACCGAGGAGCGATGCAAAGTCGCAGGGGGCGAACTCGAGAACTGCGCGCGACTGGGCAGGGCACGTCTCGTCCCCGCCCAGAGTCGAGGGGATGCCGGGAACGGAAGTGCCAGAGTTGGCGCTGGGGCCACCCGAGGTGATCGATCCGGCGCTGGCACCGCCCGAGGTGATGGAGCCGGCACTTGCACCGCCCGAGCTGATCGACTTGCCCGAAGGGGAGTTGTCGCTGTACGACTCGGGCGACGAGCCAGCACTGGGACCACCAGACGAGATGCCAGCAGAGCCAAAAGCACCGGCAGCGCTAGGGCCGCCCGAAGTCACACCGGGGCCCGAAGTGGCCGCGGACGAGGCACTAGCACCACCGGAAGTGATCGACTGACCAGACGAGATGCCCTGCGAAGAGCACGCGGGGGGAACAAACACCTTGACGAGCTGCTCGAAGCTAGCAGGTACGCCGCATCCAGGACCCGCGGGGGTCGAAGGCGAGTTGGAGCTGTTGCTCTCAGGACCGTAGCCCTCGGGCTGCTCCTCCTCTTCCTCAGGCACGGGCTTGGAGGGCGAGTTGGTCGAATCCTCGTCCTCGTCGCACTCCTCGTCGTCCTTGCCCGAAGCAGAGTTCGAGGAGTCCTGGGTCTTCTTGCCCTTGGGCTTGGAAGCAGGCGAGTTGGACGAGTCCTCGTCCTCTTCGCAGTCCTCGTCCTCGTTTCCAGAAGCAGAGTTGGAAGAGTGCTTGCTCTTGTGCTCCTTCTTGTTGCCCTTGGGCTTGGTAGCGGGGGAGTTGGAAGGAGTCTCCTCCTCGTCGCATTCCTCGTCTTCGCCAGCAGCAGGCGAAGATTTAGGCGAGCCAGAGTTGGAAGCATCCTCCTCCTCGTCGCAGTCCTCGTCATCCTCGGGAGCAGGAGCAGCATCCGAGTAGTCAGAAGCGGGAGCTTCGGGCGCAGAGTCACCCTCGTCCTCAGTCGAGCTGCCAGAGTTGATCGACTTGGGCGAAGACTTGTCCTCCTCGCAGTCGTCCTCCTCAGGCGCAGGGGTGGCACTACCG